TTTTGCTGGCCAGTGGGGAGCTCATAGCAAGGAGCTGAGGGCAGTCACAATGGCTGCATAGTTCTGCCAGAGACATAGCAAGCTCTGTTTTATGAGCTCAGGAGCTGGCAAATTCAGTTTATTCATACCAGGAAAGACTGAATTCTTTAACTCTTTAGCAGTGAAGTGAAAACAACTTGCTTTTAGTCCTGTTTTCCCCTAATACTTTTGAATACCCTGTGTATGAAGTGAGTGCACACCTCTAGTCAGCAGCACAGCTTTAATTCTTGTGTAAACTTAATCTCTAGAGCTTAAACCACTAATGTTTTAATTGCTTTGGATTGTAGTGTCTTTTGATGTCAGCATGACTCAGCACTTGAATCAGATGATTTCAGTATAAGATTTGCTTTAAAAATCCAGCGTGTGACAAACAGCTATTAAAGTGGGGATTATGATTCCTTGCTCTAATTAACTTTTTGTTAAATGGCAGCAGAGTGGCTGTTGAACATGAGCTGTTGGTATTTAGAGAACAGCCAGGAGGGAGGGAAATACCTTCAAGGAGTTTACCTGGCGTGGAGTGTCAGTCAGTTGGCAGAATCTTTGGAACTCTGCAGATGGGCTTTCTTCTGTGTTGTGCTGAAGGAACAGCATTAATGTTGTCACTTCCAGTATTTCTGCCTTTACCTCCTGTCTGTGACAATTTGTTTTGCTCAGCAATGAAAGACCTTGAAGTAACACAGTATTAAAATTGGCATTTAACAATTGTAACCATGAGCTGTGGAACAAAATAATTTTCTTATTTCTGAAATGTCAAATATAAAAGTGTGCCTGCTGCCACTTAAACTGGGCTAGAGGGTGAAAGCCAAGCAGGTACCTCAGTACAGGCCAAACAGAACCTGTAAGCTGATGTAGAGCCCATTCCTGGTTTTTCCTGAGCCTGTTTCCATGCCACAGACCGACATCAACCTGCCCTACCTGACCATGGACGCCTCCGGACCAAAGCACTTGAACATGAAGCTGAGTCGGGCGCAGTTCGAGGGCATTGTGGCTGACCTGATCAAGAGGACAGTGGCCCCCTGCCAGAAAGCCATGCAGGATGCTGAAGTCAGCAAGAGTGACATTGGGGAAGTCATCCTCGTCGGTGGCATGACCAGAATGCCAAAGGTATGAGCTGAGGGCCTATTCAGGCTGGGCTGGCACAGCTGCCCTGTGCTTGCTTGTGGGGGTTCAGGACAGAGGAGCTGGGAGTGCTCAGGGCAGACTCAGTGCTGAGGGTCCCACGGAAGCAGTGCCCAGGACCTCTCCTGTTTGCTTAGCCCAGCTGGGACCTGGGGCTGGAGCTGGGTTGCACTGTACAGAGTGAAGGGGGACGTGCTGGGAGGTGAAAGTCCAGCTGCAGCCTGACGTCCTGGTGTGCACTGGACACGAGCAGCTTTGCTGAGAAGTACAGGGCATTTCCTCTTGTTGTGGACTCAGTGTGGTAAAGGTACATTTCAGTGACAGCCACTTGTCAGCAGTCTGTGCCTTCCAAGGGATTTCCAGCACTTCCAGCTATGAAGAACCTGCATGAGCAGAACCCCTCTGGTACCTGCTGGTTGTGAGTAATCAGAGCTACCTGTTGGAGGCTGCTGTTGGCAGGCCCATTTACCTGGCTCTTGCAGACACTTCTTATCTAAAGCCTGGCCCTTAGTTCTGTGGAGATAAGCTCAGCAGGTAGCTTTAAAGCCTGTTGTGCTGACATGCACAGTTGTGCCGATAAATGCTGTCTGCAGGTGATTTACTGCTCCTGTTCCAGCCATGCTCTGCTGCTGCTCCTCCATCCCAGAGCTAAACAGAGGTGGTCACTGCTCCCTCCAAGGGTACAGCCTGGCCTCTCCTGCAGAGAGCACCAAAATCTCACTCCAGAGGGATCACTTAGGCTTGGACTGTTTGTTGCTTTGTGATTTGCAGGTCCTCTCTAGGACAGTAGGTGTGTGCATGGTCCTGCTTGGGGTTGATTTGGGGTTTGGTGGGAGGGTTTTTCCTCCCTGTGTTACTGAGCCTGGTGGGTGGAGGTGATACTGGTGTGAGCAGAAGGTCACTCAGGCAGGGGCGCCAGAGCAGCAAGATAAACAGAAGCTCCTGTTCTGGCCAAAGCTCAGGTGGAGTAACTCTGCTGTATGTTCCCAAAGTCCTTGTTGTTCCAGCTGAATAAAGGAAAAATGGTGTGATTACATATATATGAAGTGATGACAAACAAAACCTTTTCCTGAAACATTGTATATCCTTCAGGGATGGAAGACAGATCTTAAGTATTGGTTGGGTTTTTTTTTTTCTTCTTCCCCTCTTAACCCCCAGCCATGTGAAGCTTTGAGCTGACAGAATGCCTTCCTGAGTGCCTGTAGTCACTGCCTCTGAAATTGGTGCCAGTGTGTTGTACACAGCCAAGCCTTCCCTTGAGTACCTTGTTCTGCTCTCTTGACCCTACTAGGGGGGAATGTGGCTCCTCTGGAGCTCTCCCAAGGCCAGTACTCTGGGAGATAGACTGTGGGTGGTTACAAGTATTGTTTTGTACTGTAAAATGCACCTCCAGGGGGAAACACTTGCATTTAATTACATGTTCACCTCTGTAATGAGCACTCTGGGCAGGTGTCTCCTGGCTGCAGTGCAGAGCTGGGTGTTAGCTTCCAGCAATTTTCCAGGCACATCCCACTCACCTGGGCTGGTGTGCCCAACACCTGTACTGAGGGAGGAGGCCCAGCCCCACAGCCTTCCCTTGTAGGGTAGAGAAGGGCAATTCTGAGCTGTGCTCTGGGGCAGACCCTAGTGCATTCGTGTCTGCATGCTTCAGCAGGAAGTCTGTTGGGATCTTGAGCACACTTGGGGATGGACTGAGCAGGGCAGAGCTGACAGCAGAGCTCAGAGTGCTGACAAAACACATCTCTACTGAAACAGTCCATGAAATAAAGAGTTGGAAAACACTGATCTCTATACAATTCCCTTTTTTTTTCCTTTTACTGCGCACAAACATGAACTGTGCTGCTGGATTTTTTTTACCTTCCCTGTGCTCCTCCACAGTAGTGTTCTTGGCAGCTGTGTCCTGCTCAGTGTCAGCTTGCACAGTTCCCAGGGAGCAGTCCTTGACTCCCAGATAAGCCTGGAAGGATCCCCTCGGAATGTGGCTGGGCTGTGTGAAGGCACTGAAGGGACTGCCTTGCAGCTGACACACAGAGCCTCTGGAGAAGGGGCTGTCTGGGCTGCCATGAGGGCATTCAGTGCTGTGCAGGAGGGTGGGCAGTGAGGGAGCAGACAGAGAGCTGAGGCTCAGTGTTTCTGTCTCAGGCTTCCATGGTATCAGCAGCATAAGGACATAGAACTGAGCCAAGGCTGCTGTGGCTGTGTGGTTCTCCCATGGATGAGCTGTGCTGTGTCTCCACTCAGGTGCAGCAGACTGTGCAGGAATTGTTTGGCCGTGCTCCAAGCAAAGCAGTCAATCCTGATGAGGCTGTGGCCATTGGAGCAGCTATCCAAGGTGGGGTGTTGGCTGGTGATGTGACAGATGTGCTGCTGCTGGATGTAACTCCCCTCTCCCTGGGCATTGAGACCCTAGGAGGTGTCTTCACAAAGCTCATCAATAGGAATACCACCATCCCCACCAAGAAGAGCCAGGTAAGAGTTGACTCTGAATGGGTGGGACTCTGCTGGTGCTGTCAGACAGCTCAGGAAGGGCCACCCAGAGCATCCCAGTAGATGGTTTTGTCTGCTCATCTGACAAGAGAAGCAGTGGAGAAATCAGGTTTAACATCAGCCACTGAGTATCTCTGATTATTGTGTCCAAGAGGGGAGGGCAGTTGAGTTAATGATGACAAGATATGCCAGGATGTTTGTGGCCTGGTGAGGGTTGTTACAGTGTGTGTGCCATGATGTCAATTGTCAACACATCATTCTGAAGAAGGATTGTGTGGAGCCCTTCTGGGACTGAGCACCACGCCCATGGGAGAGCCCTTGCTTGGCTGAGTGCCTGGGAAGGGGTTATCTTTTCTCTGCATTGTAATGTCCTGGTGCCTTGGGTGTGATCCCTTCCTTCCCTTGTCTCTGTCTGGGCCTGCTGCTCTGTGCTCTCTGATAACACCTGAGCTGCCCGGGGTGTGGGCTGGAGCCTGCTGCTTCAGGGCAGATTTTCTGGGGTGTGGTGGCTGCCCTGGAACCTGTTCCTGCCATGGATGGCCAGTTTTTGTGACCCCAGGTGCATAGAGGACAAGAAAACATTGGCTTGGTTCTTGCTAGCCTCGATGCCCTGGAGTTTTGTCAGAGGAAATAGGAGCAATAAGGATTTCATGATTTTCCCTTCCAAGCAGCTTCCTTTTATTCCTTGTTCAGTCAGCTTGTAACTGCACATGTTTGTATTCTAATTGGCGATACAGTAACTTCCTGTTCCTTTTCCATAGGTGTTTTCTACAGCTGCTGATGGGCAAACACAAGTGGAGATCAAAGTGTGCCAGGGAGAGAGAGAGATGGCCAGTGACAACAAACTGCTTGGCCAGTTCACATTGGTACGTTAGCTTCTCTGTTCCTGACCTTAGACTTGACCTTCTGGGAGATGTTCAGAGCCTTCTCCATTTCAGCTGCCCCCTGAAGGCAGTGTTGAGGGGGAGTCATCTTACAGAAGACATTTGACCCCTTTCTAGTACAAAAGCAGCCTCCAGGAGCACAGCCTGGCCCTGAGACAGCCTTTCTGTGGCTGAGGACCAGCTGACATTGAAGATGGAACTCAGAGTTTCTGAGTGCTCCCATGTAGCACTGGGGCTACTGGCCTGGTCACCAGGAAGGGCTCTCTGGGTATAAAATGTCTGTGCAGTACCAGTACCAGCAGATAATCTGAGTCCTGGCCTCTACTCTGGTGTAGCAAAGATGGGACCTGGAGCAGCTCCAGGGTACCTGCAGTCCCCAGGGAAGCCCATTTCAGTCTAGTGAGTCCCTGGGAGCAGAGTCAGTGTGAGCTGAGGTACTCCAGGGTGTGTGTTTGTGGGATTGCAGCGTGTGTGCCATGATGTTAAACTGTCAACACATCATTCTGAAGAATCGTGTGGAGACTTAGTGAACTGAGCCCACGCCCTGCTCCCTGGGGAACAGATGTGTTCTAGCATTGCTGGGAGCAGAGGGGGCTACCCAACCAGCTCCCTCAGCAAAATGGGTTTGGTCAGTGCTGGCAAAGTTTGGCACTGCTAATCTGCCCAAGTTTGTGTGAACTTGCTAGGAAGAACCCTGCAGAATGGAAGGGCTTTGCCCTTCTGTACTTCTGAAGGAAGCTGTGCTGCCTTTCACTGTCTTAGAATGGTTCCCCAGAGGTGGGCAGTGAAATCTCTGTCCAGAACTGGGGAAACAGAGCATCCTACCACAGCTATGGAAGATGGGCTTGTGTAGCAATAAAGCAGAGGCTGTACCACCTTGGAACCAAACCTGGGGGGTTCTCTCTTGTTGTTTCTGTGCACTTTTCCAGGGCACAAACCAGGTACCAGTGCACAGCATAGTACTAAACAGGTACTTGGAGGACTCAGCTCTGAGGGTTTTTAGTGGTTCATTCAGTATCAGGTCCCCAGTGTGAAGTACCCAGCCCTTGTCTCCTGAGCTCTGTCCCTGTGGGAGCTGATGGCCAACCCTTGTCCTTGCTCAGGTCGGGATCCCTCCGGCGCCGCGGGGAGTGCCCCAGATCGAGGTCACCTTCGACATCGACGCCAACGGCATCGTGCACGTGTCAGCCAAGGACAAGGGCACCGGGCGGGAGCAGCAGAGTGAGTGCTGGGAGACACTGAGGGACTCGGGGCAATGGAGTGTGCTCCAGTGCTGCCTGGATGGTGTCCCACAGTCCAGGGTGGGGATGGAGCGTGTGGCTCCATGCTTGGGTCACCCCTACTCTCCAGGCTGGTGCCAGTGCAGCACAGATGCAGCTGAAGTCATCTGAGCCTGTGTCCCTCCTGGAAAGGAGGGTGGGCAAAGGGATAAGTGAGAGCTGAGCTGTGAGGTTGTTGTAGGGCAGTGAAGCTTTTGTAAGCACACAGCCTCTGCCCTCTCCAGTAACCTGCTGCCAGTGGATGCTGTCCTTGCATGTTAGGCAGAGATGAAGCACCTGCCTGTGCCAATGTTTAGGCAGCCCTCACTGGCAGGGTTTCACCACATTCCAAGTGGTTTTGCCCTGTGTGACAGTCCTGCCTTGGTGTTGCCATCTGGAATAATTGCAGCAACATGTGAGCAGAGTGCAGCTGTTTCCTGGGTTTCCTGCATGGATCAGCTGTGTCCCAGTGCCCAGGTGCTGGGCACACAGGGTGGCTCACTGAGGGCCTGTTGGTGGGCTGTGCTCTGTCATCAAGGTGTTTGGGGCAGTCATGTGTGCCCTGTGTTACCCTGAGGGGACAGAAGTTGGAGTTGGGGAATGCAGCACTGTATGAGTTGTCCTTGAGCTGTGTGGGAGTGCTGTTTCTTTGGGAATACACAGGGATTGCTGTCTGTGAGCCTGGCTGCAGTGAGGTGCCAGCTTTTAAGGGAGAATCAAATCAGGAGGATCTCAGACTCCAGGATGTGTCGTGTACAGCTGAGCAGACCAGCCCTGTGCCAAGACCCTGGTTGTTATATTCCATTATAAAGGTCTGGGGATTGGGATATTGTGAAGCAGCAGGTTTTCCCTGTAACCACCTTGTCCATTTTCTTGTTTAGGCTGGAAGTGTCTCCATCTGGTAGGAGGCTCAGGGAGTTGAAGTTGTCAGTGTATTCTGCTCTGTGGTGCATTGAAATGTTGGGCCCCATGTACTGGGGTAATTAATGGCTGACAGTTTCTAAAGCTCTGTGGTGGGTCCAGGAGATTAATTTTAAGCATTTACAGATTCCCCTGATAGAACTTAAAACTCTCTTCTCCCTTGTAACTGGAAGCCTCTGTACTGCCTTTCAGCTGTTTCTTGGAGAGAACTCTTGAGCCCTGAAGTGCTTCAGTTAGCAGAAGTATTAACTGTGCACAACTGGAGGGTGTGTGCTACTTTTAATCACACTGCTTGGCTTTTTGGCAGCAGGTTGGCACCAAAACCACCCTGCTCGTTACTTGGATTTCTTTGGAGGTCTTGCACATGTGGCAGCTTTCTATTGCTGAGTAAAGGGCTGCTAGTGACAGGCAACCAGAATTACTTTTAGCTGCCTACCTGTAAGTAGATGTGGTCCTGATTGCGGTCACCCCTACTCTCCAGGCTGGTGCCAGTGCAGCACAGATGCAGCTGAAGTCATCTGAGCCTGTGTCCCTCCTGGAAAGGAGGGTGGGCAAAGGGATAAGTGAGAGCTGAGCTGTGGGGTTGTTGTAGGGCAGTGAAGCTTTTGTAAGCACACAGCCTCTGCCCTCTCCAGTAACCTGCTGCCAGTGGATGCTGTCCTTGCATGTTAGGCAGAGATGAAGCACCTGCCTGTGCCAATGTTTAGGCAGCCCTCACTGGCAGGGTTTCACCACGTTCCAAGTGGTTTTGCCCTATGTGACAGGCCTGCCTTGGTGTTGCCATCTGGAATAATTGCAGCAACATGTGAGCAGAGTGCAGCTGTTTCCTGGGTTTCCTGCATGGATCAGCTGTGTCCCAGTGCCCAGGTGCTGGGCACACAGGGTGGCTCACTGAGGGCCTGTTGGTGGGCTGTGCTCTGTCATCAAGGTGTTTGGGGCAGTCATGTGTGCCCTGTGTTACCCTGAGGGGACAGAAGTTGGAGTTGGGGAATGCAGCACTGTATGAGTTGTCCTTGAGCTGTGTGGGAGTGCTGTGTCTTTGGGAATACACAGGGATTGCTGTCTGTGAGCCTGGCTGCAGTGAGGTGCCAGCTTTTAAGGGAGAATCAAATCAGGAGGATCTCAGACTCCAGGATGTGTCGTGTACAGCTGAGCAGACCAGCCCTGTGCCAAGACCCTGGTTGTTATATTCCATTATAAAGGTCTGGGGATTGGGATATTGTGAAGCAGCAGGTTTTCCCTGTAACCACCTTGTCCATTTTCTTGTTTAGGCTGGAAGTGTCTCCATCTGGTAGGAGGCTCAGGGAGTTGAAGTTGTCAGTGTATTCTGCTCTGTGGTGCATTGAAATGTTGGGCCCCATGTACTGGGGTAATTAATGGCTGACAGTTTCTAAAGCTCTGTGGTGGGTTCAGGAGATTTAATTTTAAGCATCTACAGATTCCCCTGATAGAACTTAAAATTCTCTTCTCCCTTGTAACTGGAAGCCTCTGTACTGCCTTTCAGCTGTTTCTTGGAGAGAACCCTTGAGCCCTGAAGTGCTCCATTTAGCAGAAGTATTAACTGTGCACAACTGGAGGGTGTGTGCTACTTTTAATCACACTGCTTGGCTTTTTGGCAGCAGGTTGGCACCAAAACCACCCTGCTCGTTACTTGGATTTCTTTGGAGGTCTTGCACATGTGGCAGCTTTCTATTGCTGAGTAAAGGGCTGCTAGTGACAGGCAACCAGAATTACTTTTAGCTGCCTACCTGTAGGTAGATGTGGTCCTGATTGCAAAGCTGAATTGCTCATCCCACATCTGTATCCAAAGGGCACCTCTGTGTGTGTGTCTTTGTTCAGGGTTCTGTACAATTGACAAATATTCCTTAGAAAAGTTCCTTTAAATGGTGATTGTAGCATGCACTTTTGTGGGCATTGAGGTATCTTGGATATTTGGTCCTCTTTCAATGAAATTAGACTAATTCCTGCAGTAAAGCCTGAACCTGGATTATGCTTTTTGACACTAATAGAGGGAAAATACCAAGGAGGGGACATGTAAGAGCCTGCCTATAGAATCGTGCTCCGTTCCTTACTAAGGGCAATGTGAGGAGCTGGGTGGGAAATGTTGTTTTACCCTGCCACCAAGCCTGGGCTGTTTTCCAACAGGGAAGGGAATCTTTGAAACCATTTCTTCTCTTTGGAATTTTTTGTTGTTGTTGTTTGTGTTTTTGCTGGAGGATTGGTTTGTTTGTTTGAGGGATTTTAATTTTGATTTTTTTTTAGTTCTGTGGTTCTAATCTGGGGCGCTCCTTTGGTTGAGGGCTTTGCACCCTCACTTTCCAGGAGGATTAACTGAGGACTGGCCAGAGTGACTTGCAGACCAGCAGGCAGGGATTGTGTGGCAGAGCTGGGGAGTTGCAGATGCAGGAGATGAGGCTTTCACCTTGGCAGCAGCATCAGTGGCTCTTTAAAGAGTCACAGTCTTTGCCCTGCTCACGGGGCCTCCCTGGGTGCAGAGTCTCTGAGGGGGGCTGCTGCTGTCAGGCTGGGGAATAATCCTCTTCTCAAAGGTGAGAGCAGATCCTTTATTCATGTTCGTCTCTGCTGCAGTTGTTATCCAGTCCTCTGGCGGCCTCAGCAAGGATGAAATTGAGAACATGGTGAAGAACGCAGAGAAGTACGCCGAGGAGGACAGGCGGAGAAAGGTAAGGGGGTTACGGGACCCTCAGGGAGCAGAGGACCTGCTGCCTTCTGCACTCTGCTCTGAGCTGTGCCCACCCCTGGGCACCCAGGGCTCTGCTCTGTGCACTCTTACCAAGTCTCTGCTCCTTTCCCTACACTCAGTTGACACTCCAGGATTGCACAGAGGTGTTTGCAGAGGCATTTGGGTCTTGAGGTTGGATACCTTGCTTGCCCTGTGCATTTTACTGCTCCCTGAGGAATTCCTGGGATTGGGGGGGTAGCAGTGAGCACACCCACCGGCCTGCTCCTCATGCCAACAGCTTTGCAGCTCTGGCGAGGGTTTCTGTCATCACTACTCTCCACTGTCCCACTTTGCTGGGCATTTGGCACCTGGAATACTTTGTCCCTGTGAGCAGTGCTGGTCTCAGTGCAGGTGGGGCCAGAAGGAGGTGATGGAAATCCTCACTGGCCTTGTTGAGTAAAGACTGGTACTTGCCATGGAGGAATGACTGAACCTGTAATACACACAAGATTAATGGTTGGAACTAATTGGTTTAATGAGAGTAGTAATAATGAATTATGCAGCTAAATATAGAGCATTGATTTTTAAGCAGACACAGCACAGACTGATTCTGGGATGTGGCACCAGCATGTGTTTAGTGGTTGCTGAAACTGGCACATGGAATTGATCCACTTTGT